CAGGCCGGTGGGCTGTTGATTTTAAAATATATATATATACACACATACATATATATATATATATTTATATATGGTCTTGATTTTTTTTTGGAAACCCCCCCCATCTTTTTCTCCTGCCCCCAGTAAAATTGAGTACATCCCCCCATTCGGAGGTCAGTTCATTTTTCACCAGCATCATGAGATAATTTGGCTTTGAGGTGATCTTGGTGGGCCTGAGGGGACGTCCCCTTCCTCCCTCCACCCCCACCCCGTCCAGTTGAGGCACTTCACTATTAAAAAGACTGGAGGTTCCTGCTCCCGTAGTTGGCTTCTAATCATGCAGCCAGTCCTTCCCTTGGATGAATCTGGCCGGAGGAGGGACATTGGCCCTCAGCCCATCTCTCAGCCAGACAAGATTTGGGGAGCAGAACAAAGCAGGAAGAATTTGAACTTGTAACTTTTTTAAAAATTGATTTTTCTAGTTATTAAAAGTTGCTTGTTTCAGCAGTGATATTGTATAAAGGACACCTTGTAAAATAATTCTGTCGTCTTGCTTTGGCACATGTACAGGACAATTTATATGAAAGCCGTGTTTGCTTAATCCTCGTCTCCCCCTCCCCAGCTCGTTGAAAGCCAGAAGGGTTGGGGGGGGTCTCTAGTCTTGGCTCCCTGACAGCAGTGCTGCTCCCCCCAGTTCCTTCCTCTTGCCAAGTATGGAGGCCCCAGACTCCAGCTTGGAGAGTCTGGGAGGATTTCATTGGCCCCAGAAGGGGAGGGAGAACCGGATGGAGAGCCTTTTCCTGGGTGAGTCCTTAGCCCCTAGTTGTTGTACTTAGGCAAAACTTTGTAGTCCCGATTCCCTTTTGTGGCCAACTTTGATAAAAAATACAGAACAGGGTTAAATTTTTTCTATCAAGTTTGAATTTGGAAACTGAGCCAAACAGCTCTAATGTACCTATTTAAATAAACCCACAAAAGTGATGTAACTCCTAGGATTTGAGAATAAAATCTTTACTACTAAACTGCAAGGTGTGTGTCCCTATATATCTTATCTCGGTGGCAGAGAAGGATGTGGGAGGGACTTGCTCGGTGGCTGATGGGATCACTTGCTCCCAGCTTTCTCTTGTCTAGACCTGGAGCCAGTGACACCCTCCACAGCCCTGACCTCCACCCCCGAAGGCCCAGCTCTTCTTGTTAAATATTGAGCATCTGAGTTGCTTCAGTGCCGTCTGAATTGTATGTTTCCTTTTTTGTTTTTAAAAATTGTCATTCAGGAGGGAGAGGGCCTGCCGAAGACCAGGCTTGTAATAAATTGGAATTTCAAACAATAAACATTATGTACTCGTGTTTGTTTAAAAAATATTCTGGAGACTTGGAGGGTCCTCACTGGTGGCTAGCTCTCATTCCGTCCACCTTGGCTGGCCAGCTGTCAGTTCCTCCAGCGTCATACTTGGCCTGCCGAGTGAGGTGATGTCTTCTTCTATTTTAGCCGCAGGTCAGGCTCGTAGGCTGCTCTGAATCTCCTTCCTTCCTGCGTGCGTCTCTGGTGTCTTGCTTAGTCGGGGTGAGGATTTTAAGGCTTTAAACTATGCCATTAGCTGAAGTTTTCATTCTTTTTTAACAAAATTCAAACTTCAGACATTGTAATCCCTCTACTAAAGTGAGGGTGGGAAGTAGATGAATGCCCTGGATTTGGAGGTGTCCCTGGGAACGTTCTCTTTTGTCAGGGGACTCTTCCAAGTAGTTCACGTTCCCTGGAGCTAGGCACAGACCATTCGGAGGTTGGGGAATAAAGCAAGCGACCTTGGGAGGAGAGCTATTTCTCCAGAGATGGAGTGCACCCTTGCCTTCCTTTACCACTTAGGCAAAGGATGGACCCTGTTCACAACATTCACTTGTTGAATTAGGCCTAGGAAGTTTACAAAGTGCCTTCCTCAGCTTTCCAAAGCCTTGGCAATGGAGACTGAGCTGGGGCCAGGAGCAAGTGACCATGTACAAGCTCCAGCCTCGGGCTTAGATTAAGGTCGGGTCTGAGTAAAAGCTCGTGGGTCTTGTCACGTACAGCTCACTTCTGCCTCCTCGCACCTGCCTGCTTTTGAGGATATGGTCTTCTGGACTTCCCATAAAGAAAGGCTCTGCTAAGGTTAGGTGACACGGGCCTGCCCTGGGCCAGTTTCCTCTTCGCCCCCACCTCACGTGTCGGCTATGCTCCTGACCAGCTGTTGGCTGACCTCCGGCAGCCCCTGCTTGTGCTGGTTAGGGGGATCCCTCAAAGTATCCCTCAGAGTGCAGGGGTGTTTCCCTGTCCACTTCTAATGAGTTCAGTCTATAAAGGACAGGTAGGCATTATTCCTTTGGACCAAAGGAGATGGTGCTCATGTCAAAGGCCTGGGGATGGGGGACTGGAGTCACTTCCTTCCTCTTCCACTTTGTCCCTCCCCCACAACTAATTAGCCACTAGGACCAGAACTTGACATAACCTGAGGAGGCCATCTGGTCTAACATTTGGTGCGTTCATTTTATATATGAGAGGAAAGGTCTAGAGATGGCGATTTGTCCACGATCACAAATTAATGGGTGGAATTTGAATCCTTGTGCCTTGACGCTAAAGCCAGTGGTCTTTCCTGCTTCTCCAAACAAGATTGGGGATTGGAAATTCCCCTGAGAGTAGTAAGGATGTTTGGGGAAGCCTGGAGATAGGGGTCCCTTCCAAGCAGCCTCATGCTGCGAATGGGAGGGCTATACAAGAACGCCCACCTGTCCTAGAAGTTTGGCTATTCTACCAACTTCTTTTGGTACCTGAGCTCAAGGCACTGCAGGCTAGAGCTTCCCAACCCTCACGCCCCATAGCTCAGGCAAGGGTTCTCATCCCCAGGTGCTAACATACACTCCACCATTCCCCAATATCCAGCAAAGACTCCAAGCACAGAGCTTCTTCCAAGATTGTGACCCCTATCATCTCAGACCCTGGAGGGGGAGGTTAGAGCCATCTTTGGGGTTCTGCTTCTCTAAAGGTGGGTCCTACACTGCTGAGCACAGCCCATGACCTGGCTGCCTGACAACAATCAGCAGCTGTATTCCAGGGGTTCCACTGACCATAACCACCCCCCTCTCTCTTCATCCTTATCGAAAAAGCATCGTTGCCGACCTATGAACTTTGAGTTGTTTCCCTGGAACAAATATTGACTGTGGGGGGTCAGGGTGGCAAAAAAGATGGGGGAGGAGGGGACACCTCATCACATACAGAGGGAAGAGAGAGGAAGGGAAGGGGGCAGGGCGGGAGGGAGAAGACCTGCTCAGCCTAGGTTTTGAGGTAAGCCCCTTTCCACGCACAAGCATGCATGATAACCCACGTCTGGACACACACACACACACCCTCAACTCATGAACACTGCAGGTGGGGACCCCCCCCCCCACCTGTGGGAAAGTCTTTCCCTACTAGCCTGGCCTTTCTAGGGTCATCCTTAGCTCCCCCATCTATCCCTTTGTGGCCCTGTGTGTATGAGTGGGAGTGGGGTGGGGGAGCAGGAGTAGAAAAAGGCAGATGAAGTACTGCTAACCCATTCCATCTCCCTAAGAACTGAGGGCATTCTCAGTCTCCCTGAATTGAGTGATGGAAACCAGGAACTCCAGTCATGGAGCAGGGTCGGGAAGAAAAAACTCTTAGGAGCTCCTTCCCCATGATCCCCTAATGCCTCTGGACACGGGCTCCCCAGCCTGACCTCTGCCACTCAGGAAGGCACCTAGTGCTGACCTCTTCTTTGCCTTATAGCATGAGGAAAGGTGGGCTTGAGCCCAGGGGTAGGGGAGTAGGTTTTACTGCCTCGTGAGACTGAGCAGAGCAACCAGTATGAGACACGCAGAGAACGGCCTCACAGAAACGAGATGAAGCTGTGGCCTTTTCTGCTTCTCATGGGCATCCTCCAGGGTCAGGCCCCGCCCAAGCATCGCTGGCTTCCGGCTCCCCAGGGTCTCCCTTTCCTTGGTGTCTTTACAGGGCAGTCTTATGACCCTGATCATGGGCAGTCACTTCAGCGGGGCAGGCACACACACACACACACACACACACCCCAATCTTCCCCTTCCCCCCTCCCCCACCCACTCCTTCTCATGCCTACAGACTTACAGAATACAGAACGTCCAAGGTGGGAAGGACATCGATGACATGACCATCTCACCCAATTCCCTGGGAGAGGGGAAGTGACTTACCAAGGCCATAGTGTGGCAGAGCTCGGAGGCAAGGCCAGGTCTTCTAACTCCAAGGCCAACCCCTTTACAGCCCAGATGGAGGTGGGAGCTAGGCTCTGGCGACTCCTCATCCCTCCCTTCTGGCTGTTGCCCCGGGACCCCAGGAGGGCAGCCTCCAACTAGCCCCGTCCCACCCCACGTAGGGATATGTCCACAGCCGCTCCTACCTGCTAGTAGTCATGGACTTGAGAGAAGACAAGGGAGGACACCTTCGTTCTATTGCTTATTTACAGTATCATGGCCTGGGGAGGACGCTGGTGTAACCCGACCAGGTCTCCCTCCCCTCTCTGTCCTGCCTTAGACATCTGGGAATCCTGCGGCCTTGGATGGGAGTCGGGGCCGGGCCAGTATTCCGTCAGACTTTCATCTCCCCATCCCCTCTCCCAATCCCAGACCTGAGAGGGAGGAATTCAAAGGGTGACAGATAGAGGGGAGCTGAGGAAGGAGGTTCTAGCGCCAGCCACCCTGTGGTGCTCCCTGGTGCTCAGGGCAGGAGGCCGGGCAATGTCACAGCCCAGTCTGCAGGACAAATGGGCACTGCCCTGTGATCAGGCACCTAGCTTTGCAGTCCTGAGTGAAGAAAGGGGAAAAGCCCAGCCCCAAGGTCCACGAGAAACACAGCTGTCTCAGCAGAAATGCTTCAGCCCCAGCCTCAGCTCCAACACAGGGACTGAAGCAAGGCCCCTAGCCCCTCCAGGATATCTTCCCCCTCCCCACCTCCTTCCCCCATGGCAGACTGAGGCAGGCAAGTGGTGCCACACAGGGTGGGGGTGAGGGGGTTTATTCCAGTCGATGCTTCCAAAGGAACTTCACAATAAATTACATCATTAAATAAACTTCTGCCTGGATCGTGGCCTTCTGCCCTCCCCTCCCCCCTCCCCTCAATCCACATGCTCTTCTGGAGCCTCATGGGCTGGGGACACATGGCAGTTCTATCCCCTCTACTTGGCTCCCGCGGGGTGCAGAGCCCACTGGGGGCTGGGAAGTGGCGGGGAACCTCCACTCCTTGCTCCTCAGCAGCTCCCCCGGCTCCTTCCAGGCCTCCGCTCTGCCGACCTTGACAGCTGGGCGGCCACTCCAGCTGTCCCAGAAGGCAGGCGGTGTGTGTGCTCGTGTTCCTGCTGGAGGGGGTGGGGCTGGAGGCAGGCTTGAAAGGGTGTGTGGGGGGAGGGGAGACCTAAAAGCCCCCTCTCCCCTGCCCCTAGAGGTGCGTGGGGTTCTCCAGATACGGGTCTGCCTTGGTCATGTGCAGGACCACGGCAGGGGCCTTGTAGTGGCAGTGGGCCCCGCGGCCACAGCCTGCCGGACCCCCACACCCCTTGCCTCTGGCCCGGCTGCCCCCGGCCAGTTTCCGGTGGCACAGGCTTTGCCAAGTCTGGAAGGTCTTCGAACTCCAGACCCAGACGCCACTGGTGATGCCCACCACAAGAGACATGAAGATTTTCAGCATGAAGACAGCCACAGTGGGGACGGAGCCCCCACGAAGGGAGCAGTCCCGCCGCCCCCCGGGGATGGCGGCAGCAGCGCAGGGCTGCTCGGCGGCCCGCAGGCGCCAGTAGCTCATGTTTAACCTCTCATAGACGTAGCAGACGATGACGCAGGTGGCGGGCACCGTGTAGAGGATGGAGAAGACGCCGATCTTCACCATCAGCTTCTCCAGCTTTTCTGTGTTGGTGCCCCCCGTCTTCATGATCTTCCGGATGTGGAAGAGGGCCACGAAGCCCGTGAGCAGGAAGCTGGTCCCCAGCACCAGGTAGCAGGAGAGGGGCACCAGCACGAAGCCCGTGAGGGCGCTGGCATCCGTGCTGCCCACGTAGCAGAGCCCCGTCAGCTCATCTCCGGCCACCTTGCGCAGGGTGAGGATGACAATCGTCTTGAGGGCGGGCAGTCCCCAGGCTGCCATGTGGAAGTAGCCTCCGTGGGCCTCTATGGCCTCGTGGCCCCACTTCTTCCCGGCTGCCAGGAACCAGGTGAGAGTGAGCACGACCCACCAGAGCGAGCTGGCCATGCCGAAGTAATAGAGCAAGAGGAAGACGAGCGTGCAGCCCGTGTTCTCCAGGCCCTCCTGGATCACGTAGAGGGCCCCGGCCTCCTGGTCGCAGGCCACGCTCTGCGCACCGGCCACGGCGCGGATGAGGAAGGCCAGCGAGTAGACGTTGTAGCACATGGAGAGGAAGATAATGGGCCGCTCGGGGTACTGGAAGCGGTGGGGGTCCAGCAGGAAGGTGAGCACAGTGAAGGCCGTGGAGAAGAAGCACAGCGCCGACCACACCGCCATCCACACGAGGGCAAAGTCCTTGTCACGCCGGGACCAGAAGACCTCGACCCCGGGCGCGCAGCGGGGAGCACACGCGCGGCTCTTCTCCACGTACTGGAACTTGTCGGGGTTCTCGCAGGCGGGGGGGCCGGGGCCGGGGCCCGGCACCGGGCGTGGGGGGCGCGGCGCCACAGGCAGCATGCCCAGGCCCTGGTGGCCGGCGTGGCCTCCTGTGGCGGCGCCCCCTGGGACGGCCGGCGCGGGGCCGGCCGTGGCATTCTCGGGCGCCTCCATGCACAGCGCGTGGGGGTCGTTGGGCGTGGGCAGGCGCGCGCAGTCCAGGGCTTCGGGCCACGGGAAGCTGAACTGCTCCATGACCGGTGCGCAGCGGCGGCGGGCCTGCTCGCACATGGGCCGGCACGCGGGGATGGGCGTCGACACCTGGTCAGTGCACATGGGCGCGTAGAGCGAGCACAGGAAGAAGCGCAGGTGAGCGTGGCAGCCGTACTCCACGAGCGGCGCGAACTCGTGCAGCTTGGCCGCCGCCTCGGCCTGCGTCTCGTGGCCCAGCAGGTTGGGCATGCGGGTCAGGTTGTAGCCGATGCCGCGGCACATGGGGATGGCCACGGCCTGGCAGCGCGCCCAGCCCCGGCCCCGCTCGCGCTCCGCCTCGTCCGGCCCCAGCTCCAGCGCTGCCGCCGCCGCGCCGGCCACCAGCAGCGGCCACAGCAGCGCGGCCCGCGCCGGCCCGGGGGCCATGCCGGGCGGGGGGGGCGGGGGGCGTCCCGGGGAGGACGCCGCGCAGGGGGGCGCGGGACGCGCGCGGCTCACTGCGCCCCCGGGGCGCCGCGCGCGGGGCCGCCCATGGCCCTGCCGCTGCCGCCCGGACAGCCCCGGCCCGGCCCGGCCCGGCCCGGCCCGGTCCGGTCCGGTCCGGTCCGGGTCTGCGTCTGGCTGCGAGTCTGGGTCTGGCTCCGGGTCCGGGTCCGGGTCTGCGTCTGCCCGCACCAGAGCCGCCGCGCCCGGAGCTGCCCGAGCCTGGAGCCGGAGCCGAAGCCGGAGCAGCAGCAGCCGCCACCACCGCCCGAGTCGGCGAGCCTGGAGCCGCCCGAGCCCCCTCCGGGCCGGCGCTACCACCTCGGGGGCGGGGCCCGGGCCCGGGGGGCCGGTCCAAGGCGGGGCCGGGGCGCAGGACACGCCCCCGGCTGGGGGCTTAAAGGAACCGCGCGCGTCCAGCACAGGATTGGCTCGGGCACCGCCTGGTGGAGGACTGAGGCTCGCACCTGGAGAGGCGGGGAGGGCGGGGTGCGGCGTGAGGGAGGAGGACTAAGAGTGTGTCTTTCTGTGAGTCTGCCTGTCCATCCGCGTCTCCCTCTGTCTCTGTCTCTCTGTCTCTATGTCTCTGAGTCTGTCCATCTGTGTCCT